TTCGAGATACTTGTTTGGCTCTCAAGGACAAACCGGGGTTCTCGGATTGCCTTGGATTGTGGTTTAGGGGAACTTGAAACCCCAAAATGATGTTACTTCCTTTCTTTTCCTCTATTTCTTTCCTTCATGGTTTATGAGCGAAGGGTATTTGCTGTATTTTCTTTCTTATGTAACTTTTATTAAAATCTAATACAACCAGAAAATTTAGAAAAAAAAAAATGCTTCGGTAGTCTTAAATATTTTCCAAGACCCCCTTCATTAGGAACCCGAAGATCTCTTTCAGCTCTTTACTTTGTCTCTTTCGGTGTTTCTGATGAGAACGTGATATAAGAATTTTGTACGTTGATCATTTGACCCAAAGCAACCTCATACTTGGCAAGAATGTTCATTTGAGCTTTACATTTCTCTTTGCTTGATTTGCAAAAAAAAACATTGTATCATCGGCAAAGAGAAAATGATTAACTCAAAAGACTCTTGCAAGAGACTCATATCCCTTTTAAACTTCCATTTTCATGTGCATTCTTATATAATACGATACGACTTCAAAACATCACCACATAATCTTGTAACCTAGTTTTAGTTTAAAGAATGGCAAATATGATTTGTGAAGTCTCTTACCATCCTTATTTTAATAGAAAATTCTGGCGATGTTTTGTTGTATGCATATACACACAAACAAATGAAAATCAAAAAAAGTGTATAATTTATTTTAAAGCTCGGTTACAAGATTTTAATAAAAAATTTCTCCATATTTTACATAAAAAATCTTTTATCTTTTAAATATTTCCAGGACCCCCAAAATGTATCATATTTTTGGTCCCATATCGTGAATGCATATCATCTATTACTCTATAACCACGGGTGTTATCCGAGAATACCTCTGTATTCTCTACCCGATCATCAACCTTAAAATTCTCGTCAACTATGGTTATGTTACTAGCGTAGGCATCGTATAAGACATGTTTAACTGGAAAAATACCGTATGCCATTTGAGGACTCAGCATAAATGCACTATATATTTCTCCTCCCCACTCGATCTTGTTGGCAAAATTTTGTTTAAATCTATTTGCTGGCCAAAATCCAATTTCTTCTCTATCAAACTTAAGCCACCAGTTACCATTTACTTTGTCATTTGATCATTGTCACATCAAAACAAAACAAAAAG